ATATAGGTTCAGTGTCTTTAGTTGTATCATTTTAGTTCAGAACGTTGACTGCTACTAATCGAAACGTTAGGAAGCGACTGTACATTCGTGCGGAAGAAGAAATCGATCGTTATTTTCATCACATAAATTGTAAACAATATTACCAGGCCGGAACTGTCTGAAATGGAGTAGCAACTAATTTTAAATCTGAAACTTGGTGGAATGACGCAGCGAGTAATTGCCAGTATTTTGCACAGATCGCAGGATGTAGTTAATAATTCTTTGAGGAAAGGTAAGGAAAATGAAGAACAGCAGAAGCGATCTCGCAGACTATTAAAGTTTTCTTCGACTGGCGAACGGGCAGCATTAAGAGAAATTTTCCAAACTGAGGTTTCGCCGTCGAAAATAGTGTAACGTTTTCATTTGCAATGCGATCCAAGTATAACAAGAAAGTGGATCGATAAGGAGAATAAGAAGCGCACCTCGGTAAGCATCACATGGAGATCCATTTCGAAGAAATAGGAATTCGTTGCATAACTAGAAATGCGGGACCACCAATTCAATGACGAAAAGAAAACCCTTGTAGACATGCCTGATGGCCTTATTTAATTATTTTTAATTATTTTCAAGACATATGAAATAGAAGAACGATTTTATCTCGGCGTCAAAGCAGAGGTGATGAAGTCTTTGAATTTTGCGTGAACCTATAATTAATCACACCACTGTAGTATTTTCATACATTAATGTAAGTCTACAAGGAGTTTCATAACATGTGAAACGCATTTCAGCGGTAAACGGAAAATACCAATTCAGTGAAAAAACTGACATTACATTAACCCTGGTTTACTATTCAGATCAATTTGACTCGAACGCAGACTTTAACTTCTAATTATATTCTTTATTAGAAAAACTTATAGACTAATCTGAGACCAAGTTTAATTCAAGGAATACTAATACAACAATTTACTGAACAATACACGCGGGTTAAGCTAGAGTCAACGTATATCAATCTGTCAAAAAGTATGCTTAGCAAAACACACCAAGACTTCGTGATGGCACTCGACTAAAATTCAACATTACACTTCATTCATCTAAATTCGACTCATCTTCGGTTCACAATCACGTGTTATCCAGCAAGCTTCGACGGATTCGCAAAAACAAAGGAAAACAGAGAATATGGTTTCCGAAGTTCCGAAATCGTCACTTTCCAATGAGGCACGATCAGGCTAATGGAAACACCGAAATGGATTCTCAGTTTTCAATAACCATCGAGATACGCGCTCGCCTGGTTTCGTATAAACTTTCATGCAGAATCGGATTGACATATTCCCTCTCTTAAAAATTTCATACGGGAATATGGATGGTAGCGTGTCACGGAAGACCACAGGAATCCTGATATATTCGGATAAGATTTCACCCAACCAGCCAGATCTATCACTACTTATACACTGTCCCGTCAATCCCGCGCGGAAATTCCGATTTCACGAGGCGGCCGCCCGCGCCCGAGCAAAAGCAAAACGGCCGGGAATCGAAGCGCGGTTCGCCGGACTGTCGCGCTCGCCTAACCGCTTCGTGGCCGTTCGCTCACTTGCGTTTCCGACTCTCTTAATTACGGTCGCACAGTCACCACCGGTCTAGCTTCCGTTTACGTGACGAAATTCGCGAAATCTAATAACGAGTAAATTATAACCGCGTACAGGCCCCGGACCACCGTCTTCCAATATTTGCTACTCGTCAGTTAAAGCAACGAGACAAGCGACGATGCACGACGTTTTGAAACGGCCGTCCCGCCGCAAACAGCTATATTTCATGTGAAAAATGTACGGATTATTGAGAACAAATGAGACCATTAGAGATTATAACATTTTAAAACCGTTTTCTTTAGAAATTCGGAATACTTAAGGGGTCATGCTCAGTCAGATATTTTTCACTTTCTACATTTTCTTTAAGAACAACATGTCGAGAATATTCTGTACAAGTTTCAAGGCAATCCAATTAAAAATGAAAGAGTTACAGGCGTTAAAAAATGAACATTTTATGTAAGTGTAAGCTTGACTTGAAACTTTAAACGCGTTTTTCACGAAACTACATTTTTCAAATCGGTGATCAATATTGTGTACAACTGTAACAACGAAGGTTTAAACACCAAACATGAAGACACCAAAAGCCGATGTTACTCTGCAGACTATCCACAGAGTGTCCGCGAAGATCCAAATTAAATTAGACAAAAAATTGTAAAATCTATCATATGATTTTCATTAGAAAACAAACGGAATGAACCCAAACTACAAGGTAACGGTAAAACTTTAATCAATCTGTGCCAATGCGTGTTGCTTTATTAAAAAAACTGAGACATATCCCGTCAAGAATTGGCTAACTTTGAGTACGCCTACTCTGAAATTACATCAAATTCTTTTAATCTTCCTATTACAAAAGTAAAGCAAGTACCTTCCTGTACAAAAGCCATGAGGTAATGTAATTTATTGCTAATATTACTCTTTACAAGAAAAAGAAACATCAATCGCCAAATGATGTTCTTAACCCTTTTAGTGCTGACCGAAAAGTTAAAGATAAGCGAAAAGTGCCGAATCTAAAATTTTAAATTAACAATTATAAAATTTAAATGGGAACATCATTAAAAAATAAAGAGAAAATGAATTAATGTCTACTAATTTTACATGATCGCCGCAACCTAGGTGCAAATAATAATTATTAATCACTATCACTACTTTCATCACTCACTTATAATTATTAATGACTTGAATTAATTCCGTCTGGTTCATACTGGTATATATTTTCCAATATTATAATCAGGTTAACGCAATGTGACGGCAACAGCAGAAATGTAAATACATTTTGAACTAATAGACGCACCCAACAAGTCAAGACTTTTCGTAAATACAGCCAACGACGATACATCCTTGTTCGTCATTAAAAGGGTTAAAGATTGTACAGATTAGATTTTTGTGTACACATTATCCTATTTAAACAATTATTGTACACAAATAACATTCTAATTAACCCGTTGTAGGCATACTGGTCCGCATCAATAAAAATGCCGGAAGAAGTATTGAATATTTAAAAAATCTTACTTTTTTAATTAAAATTGATAAGAAGCATAAAATCATCCACGAAATGTGGGTATCGCAATCGATCTCTGAAGAAATTTTCTATCAAAAACATTTATTTAAACTTTCAGACGTTTATTTTAACGTTTACGTTTAAATAAAGACGTTTTATCTAAACATTACTATTTACTTCTAAAAGTTCCAAAGACATCAAAATTTGAAAATCCCGATTCGCATAAGTGTGCCTACATTGGGTGCTGGAATGAATTGTCCCTACCACGGGTTAAAGATCCTTAGAGATTTGAAAAGTTCAGGAAACCGAGAATAAATATCTCATAAATAATGTTAAAAATTACAGAATTTTCGCGGTCACGCGTCTGTATGGAGACCACTATGCGACGCGCAGCGCGTCCCGTTTGGAAGTTACACCCGTTAAAATTTATAGCGTGTAATATCATTACGTCGAATCGCACGGATTTCGTTCGGCGGGTGGTGGCGGCGCCGGCTGCGGTACCCGAGCACCGCGTTTCACTTGCTCCACGCCTTTTTTTCTGTCCTCCATCGTGAACGACGGAGCGAAGAAAAAGGAGGAGCGAGATGGAGAAATAGGTGCCCGTAATATCCAACTGAAAATTTGTTCGGCGAAATGAAATTATCCGGTGACGATCTTGCATTATACTCGCGGTTCTACGTGACCGGCATAACGCATCGTGAGCTTCGTCCCTCTAATACGTGGAATACGTATCGAACGGTCGTATCGTAACTTCTGCGATCGAATCGGCTCGGCAGTGTCGCGCCTAAAACCGTTCCCGAATTATCGGGTCACCTTGCGGTTGTCGGTTTTACGGGTACTTTTACGGCGCACAAATTGATACGTTTTCAACGGGTACCAATTCTAATTCTGCCGACACGACTACTGTCCAAGATTCCTGTAATCTCGGTTCTCATCGAGCGAGAACGAAGCTACGTGGTCGTAGTTGAACAGGTCGTGCTTTGATCCGAACGCGAGGTGTATGGAACACGTTAAGGGAGAGATAATTAAGCGGAGTTGGTCTGTACGCGAACTTCCGTGTCGCCATCATTCGAAATGTAACGCGGAAGAAAAGAGACTAATGAGAAAGAAGTTCGACACGACCTCCCTCGAACGGTTTTAATTAACGCAATGGGCGCCAACACGCCGCATCGGCGGCGGGCAATATTTTCGCATGTCCTATATTCGGACAACGCTCGGAGCGACTGTTTTTTTTTTTTTATTCCATCGAATAGTTGCCCCGGTACTTCCTTGAATTAATTCCTTCCGATCCCGGCTGTGATTCGATGAAACGGACCGAGGGATGTTTTTGTAACGTGCTCGCATGCTGCGCGAAAGATCTCCATTCCATGCCGCGGAAACTGTTGGAATTCATCCCGCGGGATTTATATCAGAACCCATCGGATCGCGTCGGATTAATTGTTCGTTTATTTAACCTTCGGTGCAAACGTGAAATTACATTTCCCGAAGTGTGACCAGGAGATCGTTAGACATATCCTCGACACGAAGGACATTGAGAGAAGCGTTTGTGGGGAACTAGAGATCGATGTTAGATCGCTGGTCGTAACGCCATCGGTGCCTTCCGCTTCGTTTTTTTAAGGGAAGAACAAACAAGGTATTTCGTAAAATGAAGGGATATAATGGTAGGTCGAAGAACACGTAAAATATATTATCCACGCTTTTATTCTCTCCTGAAGAGCAGAACGGGGCTTAAAGTTAACTAGCCCAGGAAGAAGAATTGCAGAGTGCAATATCGCGCACGTTATACGCCAGCGTCTCATTACTGTCCGCCGTCAACGAAATCCCGCATATACGACACGATACAGCTCGTCACTTAGTCGCTTGTTCACGACACCTAAGCCCGCATCTCTGAGCGGTATAATAAATGTTCCCAAAGACTCCAGCAGGCAATCGGTACTTACGTGCTCGTCGACTGTTACGAAAGAGCGTCATCCTGGCAGGCCATAACGAGACACACACCCATACGCGCGCACGCTTTTGAATCCCCCGATGCTGTCCAAAACTTATGATCTTCCTGTGAACGGGCGTATAAACCGGATTCACTTTACGAAATCCGTCAGGTCCCTTCTGATGAGCCAGTCTCCTCTTCTATCGCGTGATCCGGACAGTCAACCGACCCAGCCTCGCTAGATCATTCTTCCTCGAACGAGCACTAAAAACTCCCTCTTGTCCTCCAATTTCAAAACGAACCGCACCGCGCGCGATCGTTTCAAGAGAAACAGTTTTCACATCCGGGGATACTTTCCCTTCGATCACGATCACCCGACCTCGATAAATCACCGTGACGAACTAATCGACCGGGATTTCAATCACCAAAACCGTATATATCGTGCACTGATGGCCGAAGCACGCGTACCGTCGATCTGTCCGCGTCGAGTATCAGAGGATCGGTCAACCGTGTGCGGCCCGCACCTTCGCACGAGACGTACTCAGTCAGTAGTCACTTCGAGCCGGTAGGATACGCCGACGACGGAGGACGCTGACGCCGGCGCTGGCACTGCTGCCCGCCGGGGGTCGAGGATGGCTCCGGCTTCGCGACTGCGCCCTTTCGGCTCTCTTCAACCCATTACGGTTCTCACCCATTCGCGCGCACAGGCATAAACACACGTACACGACAGACCTTATCATACACGAGGGCTACGGCGGTGTACGATGTAAGGCTAACACGCCGACAACCGTGCGCGCTCGCGCTACCCTATAATAACGTTGCCTCCCCTCCCCCATTTGTGTTGGTGCCTTGCTTCTTCCCTCCACCTGGCTCTTCCACCCCCGCCCCTCCCCCCGTCCTCACAAAGCTTCACCGTGCCGTATCCCCATCAGCCGCAACACGTAGCCTTGCAGCTACTCACCCTGCCTCCCCCGTACACCCCCGTGATACATCATCGTATCGCTTTATGTCTCGCGTAACGTTTTATTAACCAGAAATCAAGTGCGCCCCGTTTCATTCAACTCCCTGTGTACCCACATCGGCGTCCCAGCACATCCACCGGCGACAATGGTGGGCTACGGATGTGTCGCGCGAAGGGGTGTATCCGATTAACGAGCTCGAGGCCCCGTGAACGAGATTTCAGAAGAAACTGGCGAGTTGCTAGCCGTCGGATAATTGACTCTTCGTTCTGTAAGAGGTGGGGAGGGGGGATGATGTTAAACGAGCAATCGCGTGTCTCCATCGCCGCGGCTGAGAACACCTGAGAGGGAGGAAAGGCCACGCGGCTGACGCTGACTGACGCTCCGTGAAAGAGGAGTGACAGATTGAGGAGAGTTCTGTATCGAGCAGGACTTTTCAGCGATCGTTGCCTGAGAACCGGGGGAGTGACTGACAGTAGCCCCGCTACCGATTGAAACCCCTGTCTTACTGTTTCCGTATTTTCGTGATCGATGCCACGCTGCAGCAGGGAAAGAACTTGGGGAAGTTTGTCGGGACTGATAGTACGAGGGACGCGATTCAGAAGTTTGGGAAATGACGAGTAGAATATGGAAATGAGACGGATAATGTATTGAATATTATTATGAAATGCGCGGCTTTCTGCTAATTCGAATTTGACTCGCTACGTTTTTGACACGGTGACTATATTAATAAAGAAGCATTAAGAGAAGAAATTCGTGTTAATATTAAGCTTAGGGTTTTTAACAAATAATTCGGTTTTGTACTTTCGTCTGTGATTTCTTGCATCTCGAGTAAATAATAAATTCGGAGTATAAGATAATGTACCAGGTCTTCCGACTTTGTGTATTTATAGTATATAGGATTATCCAAGCCAAAATTGGGCATTGCTCGGATTTTGTATTTGGATGATTATTTGAATAACCTTTTATTCGTTATTGCATTATTTCTTATTCCCATTATTCTTTATTTGTATTACTCATTATTACAATATTCCTTATTCGCAGTATTCATAACTTACCGCATTTCTTTTGTGCGATACTTGTTATTATTTCATTTTGTGGCAGTCAGCTCGACTTGTACCAGCAATGTGCCCAAATAAAGAGAACCCATAGAAGTAAAACAATTGAAACGTAATGACGACATTTCTGATTTTAGTCATTTTCGTGTTCATCTCAAGATGAAATCGATATTTTAAAGTATTTTAGCGACGATAGTCGTGAAGTAACGATGTTACAGGCATACTTTGCAATAAGATAGGTCCCTTTGCTGTATAATACACCACTTCCATCGTCTGTATCCGTAAAAAGATTGTTTTCGCACGTCACTATGGCTACTCTTCCAAAAAGTAATAAATTGTCCGAAAAAAAATATTTGAAAGAGGAGTTGTTCTGAGAAGTAATATTTAAAAGAACTTGTTTTTAAAAATTTTGCCAACATTATTGTGTGAATAAACATTTATTGAAACGAAAATTTAGTTTTTAATTGAAAATTATTCGCAGCTTATTTAAATAACGCTGCGATTGTTCAAATTAATTAATTACATAAAGTTTTATTCAAATGTAACATTTATTCGCAATACTAAATTAATATTTTAATCAAATAAGAAGGATTAGTGATGTACGATTAAAACTTCATTCGAATAAAAAATTCATCGTTAATCGCAAATAACGTATTATTAGTTATTTGTGCGATAAAAATGCTCAACTGTGATCCAAACAAATTAAAATAGAAACACCGTAAGAAACATAATATAATAAGATTTTTATTTTATATTTTAATCTCAGAAAGTCCTTAATATAATATAAGGAGAAAATTTCTGTACAATATCAATTTTACACAAATATTAACAAAAGTCTAAATTCATGTATGATGACTCTTGAAAATCTATTCACAGAAAATCAGTGATCGATGTGTCATAATATGCAAGACACGTAATTAATCCGTGCAAACGATTTTCCATCGTACGTAATCTTGACATGACGAAAATAGCAGAACTACTGTCACATTTCATTTTCAAAAAGGCGATGCTACATATATCGCAAGTCAATCATTCCAAGTAACTTTCCAAAACTCATAAAACTTTTAGTTGTTCAATACATGAATATCGAATAGTTTCCAACACAATTGAAAAAATTCAACAGTTATTTGTTGCAACAATTCCGAACTTGGTGAGTTACGTTACCGAGTTTAACTTGCTCAAAGAACGATCCAAGAAGATCAAGAGTCACCAATTCCGTTAGATTCAAATTTCACAAGTTACACAATTAGAATCACTATTCGACAAATCTTCAAAACTGATATTGCAGTTGTAAGTTCTAATTTTACGTTTCAAGACCTACTACCACAGTCGCTGGTAGAAATATAACAGGAAGACGTTAGTGAGAATTTCTGGGGTAGATTCTTGAATTTGCCATGCATCCCCACACAAGCCTGCTGCTTGACGCATAGAAGTATATGTATAACGCATGTATGTTGCCTGCCTCCTTTATTTGAGAAACGGAACAGCAATCCCATAATCCCTGGCTGAAATGAGCACAATATATCAATCGTTATTGAGAATTACGAAGAAAGTCGATAACCTCCATTCCTGCACGGATCATCTGTTTAAGGGGAAACTCTCAGTCAGAAATTAAAAGAAAATCGATCTTTCACTTTCTACATTTTCTTTAAGTACAACATCTCGAGAATATTCTGTGCAAGTTTCAAGGTAATCCAATTAAAAATGACAGAGTTACAGGCGTTAAAATATGAACATTTTATATAAGTGTAAGCTTGACTTGAAACTTTAAGCGCGTTTTTCTCGAAACTACATTTTCCAAATCCGTGATCAATATTTCTTGAAAAGTACTGTGTCGATTTACATGAAGCCTTTTGCGCCTTATTTCAAATCAGAAAAACTTGTCCCTGAACGAAGAATTCTTTTGTTCTTTCCATACTTTTTTTTTAATTGACCAAAAAACGAGTGATTTTTTAGGAGAAAATCGCACTTTTTCAGGAAAACGTCCGCTATTTTGTTCCTAATTAATATTTCGAAAAACCCCACGTTCAAGGACAAAATTGGTTCTTCTATTACATAAATCTTACTGAATTTTTAATTTCAGATGAACCGTTAGGTTACAGTGATCACGGCAGACCACTTTTTGTGAAGAGACATCCGGAAAATCGCTCACCATTTATTTACTAATAAATATTTTTAAATAAAAAAATCACCTTATCATCTAGAAACTGCAATCTTTGAAACACAAACACATTTTTTGAAAAAGGTCTTATAGTTTTCTAGAAATAAATTCCCAAAGAACACTCTTTTTTCGACCTCCTGACTGGACGTAGTAATAGCAGAAGAATTTTGTCATTCGAAACTCAACTTCGCAAACATTGGAACTTCTGATGCTTTAACTACTATTTAGTGTTTATCTAACTACAAACGGTTGACTCGAAAAGTACCAAAGAAATGCCATCCCACAATTCTTATATTAAAAAAAAAAAATTTTTACATTCCAAATATACATTTCCTGATACATAAATAATTTACTTAACATCTGTATCATTTTCATATACAACTTTTGTACATTTTTATATACACATTTCGGTATTTACTGCATCTGAATTGGCAGAGGAACTGTACATGTATCCCTATTGAATTTTTCATGATTTCAAAGCCTGTATATTTCAACGATACAATCTGTTATCATAACTTACATAACAGACAAAAGAAAATAGTTCCTGTTATTTTTCAAACTCTTAGTTTGTTCTGTCGTACAGGTATAGTGCTTCACAACAACGGCTATTATTTTATAACAAAACTCCAATTTAGCTGTTCAATCTCCCGTAATAATGTACGCATTTATTTCTTGTCCGTTTCATTTTAATAGCGTACCTTTTTAATCTTTTCGACACCCTTATACAATAGACGAAGGTTCCAACATTTGGTCGACAGCCTGTTCCAGTCGCATTGTACCACCGAGGCGAAAAACTATATCGCCATAAACTTGCACCGTTGGGTGACTCCCGCAACCTCGGAGCGGTCAAGCCAAACTTGGCCA